ATAGAGGCAGGGAAAAGCCACGTCGGTACAATGCCCCATCTCGGACCACGAACCGAGCTGCCCGCCTTGCCAACTTTCTGCGCTCCTTGGGATCTTGTGGTGAATTGCCCCTAATGAAGTTCGTGATCGGGTCCATCCATGAGGATTCTGGAGCGCCGATCTCCATCAGATCTGGCTCCAAGAACGAGGGATTATCTAGGATCTCGACGGGGACCGACCTGGCGAGATCGGTCTCGTACACCGATACTAACTTGGCCAAGGCGTCAGCATTAGAATTTTCTGCTCGCGGAATCCTGCTTACCTCGTAAGTTCGAAACTGGGCAAGGTGTGATCTGACCTTGCCCAAATACTTCTCCATTCGGGTGTCTTTGGCTTGGTATTCGTCCTTGATCTGGCTCACAACCAGCTGGGAGTCACTGAAGACCTTAACACAAGAGGCCCTCAATGCTCGAGCGATTCGCAGGCCGGCAATAAATACTTCATACTCAGTCTCGTTGTTAGAAGTCCGGAAGCTGAACCGCAAGGCATACTCAAATCGCTCACCCCCTGGTCCGAGCAAGAGGACCCCGGCTCCGCACCCCTTCTCATTGGAGGATCCGTCGACATGTCTTTGTCTAAAGAAATGCCTTGAGGATTGATCCGAAATCTGATTCAAATCCAATATAACACCTATGGGTACATAAGAAATGTATTGAATCGGACTCGCTCAGCTCGGAAGGTGGTGTGAGCTCGGCTATGAAATCTGCCGCTGTTTGTCCTTTCAACGTAGTTCTGGGTTCGAACTGGATGCCGTACTCACTTAGCTCTATTGCCCACTTCATTAGGCGTCCGGAAGCTTCCGGCTTGTGGAAGATACTTTTAAGGGGCAAGTTAGTGAGCACCACCACCGTATGGGCTTGGAAGTATGGTCTAAGTCGTCGGGCCGAGGTGACCAAAGCGAGAGCCAACTTCTCCATCTGAGGGTATCTAGTCTCGATATAACCATGCGAGACATGCACTACCCCATGAATATCGTCCRGCTACCTCGAAATCGCTCAGTAATGGAAGGAACATGAGATGAACTAATGTGTTAGATTTATCGTGAAATAAAAATCCACCAATGAGTTGCATAATATATGCTTGTGTGCATCTCTATATCGTAATGTCATTAACATCTAGTGGTAATTCAGTGAATTGTGCCGCTAGCCAAGGAATACTCAACCTACAGCCCTTAAGTTGAGGAGGTCGTACTCCTAGTAAGTCCTCACATAATTGTGCCCATTCGTATTGTAAGGATCTTATAATGGAGCCATGTCAAGGAGAAGTCCTCACTTTCGTTGATAGTGGAGCCACGTCAAGGAGAAGTCACAGCCAATGGCTGCGACTTCACTGAAATCACGATCATCAATCACGATTTCATCCTGAGTTGTGAGTGATGGCTGCGATTTCAAAATCGCAGCCCACGGCTGCAACTTTGTTGAAATCGCAGCCCATCCCTGCGATTTATCTACACTAGTTTTGTAATTACTTTGAACCTACACTAGTTTTGTCATTTGTTTTTAAAAAATAATTATTTTAAAAAAAATCCCACTTACTATATATAAATAATGTATATTATTGTTATTCATTTATTAAAAAAATCTATATATTATAATATGAGAATTTAAGACTCTAATTTTCTAAAAATAAGATTTTTTTAACACTTAAATGGTTAAGTCACCTTAAGTTTTTTCAATTTATACATATACATCTTTTATTTCTTTAGTCTTTTTAGTCAAGTTATCTCTTTAGTTTAACTGTTGCAACTCATTTTTATCAAATTTTTGAGTTTTTCTTTTATATAATTTTTATTTTGAATTTTGTAGAGTCCAAAGAAGTCGACAGTTTTGAGATTAATTGTCTAAGCTACATTTTTTTAAACTTTGCGTACTATGAATTTGAGGTTATTTTGAATATAATAATTAGTAAAAAAAAACCGAAATAAGATTTTGGATCCGTCACTATTGATTACAATGATAATATTCGAGGCTAAGTTCGTAAAACATATTTACAAAAATGACCTTATCAGCCTCAAAATCATACTTTTATGAATTCTTGAAATGACTTACTTGTAAATTAGTGTGAAACTGACGTCAAAAAAAAATTTAGTGTGAAACCCCCCCCAAAAAATTTATGGATACGCCACTGGTTGTATACATCAGACTAAAAGATCCCGAGATCTAAAGAATACTAAAAAAGAAGATGTTTTAATGGCTCTAGGGTTTCCTTGTAAATAGATGAAAGCTCATAATCAAGTTACACAACAAAACCATAACTCTTGCTACACTTGATATAAACCCAATTCTAACTTAAGCATTAGAATGTGTGTGGCGATGATCATCAATAAGGTATGTTTACAAATGTTCTCTACCACCTTTAGGATTGTTAAAATTGTGGTTACTAAATAAAAGATATGATAAGTCGTGAGAGAATATCAGAGACAGATACCAATTACCGCTGAGCTAAACTCATGTTGGCGAATAATAAAAGTTGGTGAATAAATATAGATGTATAATTTTTTTTAAACAAATATAGATATATAACTTATTATCATATTTATAACATTGTGGAATTTCTTGTCCTTGGAACAATTTTTAAATTTTCCCATACAATTTCTTTTTATTATTAATTATTTTTGGACTTGCCAAACAAATATACCATGAATGTTCCATTGAGAAGCAGCCAAGAAATCATAGAGACGAGAGAGAAATTGCAGAGTCGCTGAGAAGAACTGAATAGACATTGCTGTGGCCGCACGTGCTTTCCTCCGGAAGAGGCTCTGTCTTGCGGTGGCTGTCATTCCACCAGCGGCCGAGAGACATCGCTACAGCACTTCGAACCCGTCCCCAGATTTCCCCTTCACCTTCTTCTCCAAATTCGTCTCCAATGGCCGTTAATTCATCCACCCATCTTGCGCCTCCGCCGCATCGTTTGCTGCCTCGTTCCTCTTTCGCTTTCTTTTCTCGCATCTTCTTACGCCCTGTTTCCGCCGCTGGCTTCCCCACGCGGACCCTTGTCTCGGTTCGTGCCCGCTCTCCGAGTGCCGATGGCGCCTTCGGATCCAAGCAGCCGCTCGGTCTCGATGAGTCCACTGGTTCGCCCTCGTCGTCCTCGGTTATCGATTTCCTCACACTGTGCCATCGTCTTAAGGTATACGCACAATTTCATTGTTAAGAATTTGCTAACCTCTCGTTTTTACCCGATTCTCAAATGAACTGTAAGTCGGGTGAAGTGGGTATTGCCAATTTGTAGTTTCTGGGTTGGTAGAAATGTTAGTTTATTTGGCCAATTAGAAGTGATTTTCAGATTCTTTCGTTGTTGGTATAGGACTGGTATTTGTTTATGCGTAGAGGTGATCTTAAAATAATCATCATTAGAGGTAATAGTCATTTGGCTATTCTGTCTTTCTTGTAGACTACAAAGAGAAGGGGCTGGATCAATCACGGAATAAATGGGCCTGAGTCGATTGCTGATCATATGTACCGCATGGCTTTGATGAGTTTGATAGCTGGTGACCTTCCTGGAGTGAATAGAGAAAGGTTGCACTTGGACTTTTTCTTCATCTTGGCATTTAATAATATGTTATTGAAGGTCTTTTTTATTGAACTTTGTTTCTCTCTGTCCTTGTTGTCCTTTCTCTAGGTGTATCAAGATAGCTCTTGTTCATGATATTGCTGAAGGTAATTCTTGGCACAATTTCTTTTAATTTCCAGAACTTAATCCCCGCAAGGAGGCATATTTCTGTTGGGTAATGACAGACATTATTGGTTTTAAAATGTTCTGTGCTACAATTTCATATGAAATTTGTTTCAAAGTTGTTCTTATGCTTCTTTGCATCCAAGTCTCCGTGATAGATCATGGTAAGTGTTTGATTATGTAGAATAGGATAGTAGATAAGAGATCCAAAATACTGACTGAACTTTCACAAAACATTAATTTTACAAGTCTGAGTCAAAAGAGAGTTTTAGGTTTTAACAAGTAGCTATGCACATAGCATTTGGAAGCGTACCTCCAAAAATTTGCTCCATTTTAAGCCAAATGTTCCAGTTTCCAAGTAATGGAGATGAGTCTGGAATTCCCAAAAGTTCTACTATGTTCTTGAAATAATGATAGATGAAAAATTTCCTTCAAGAGTAGGCCCAATTTAGTGGGTAGTACCATAGAAACCAACCAAATTATTGGAAGAATTAGTCTGCAGAAAGGAGGAGAAAGAATAGTGAGGTGTATGTTTAAGATCCTCTCTCTATAACACACATCCCTAGTTAACAATTGAAAATATATCGATAATAAGATATGTAAACTATCACTAAACTCAAGAGCTTAAGCGAATAGGTTACAATATATTTAATCTTTCATTAATACACTTAATAATTTCTCTCACGAGTGGGTTTGGATATTAGCACAAAGCCCAATAAGTGAAATCAATATTAATTTGGAAGGAAATAATAATATAAAGGTTCGCTTTGATATGTATTAAACTACCACTATACCCAAAAACCAGTGTTTTCGAGGCGCAAGGCGCACCGCAAGGCGACGAGTCCTTTGATCGCCTTGAGGCGAGAGGCGATACAAAGGCGACGCCCGGTTGAAGCGAGGCGCACCTTGATAAATAAGTAAAAATTATATATATAGTGCATTAATTACCTTAAAAAAATCAATACGAAAATAGTAAATGTCAACAAGATGCATAAAACAACCAAATTCTATAAGTTTAGTTCCAAATAAAGACAAGCAACATTAAGAAATTGTAGAGTCTGAAATAGAACAAAAAGTAAATATAAGTAATCAGAGCTCATCATCCTCATCTAAATCTAAATTCTCTTCATCTTGGACGTTCTCACAATCTTCCTTTTCCAATTCTTCTTCTTCTTCTTCTTTTGTGTCATCATCATCATCACCATCCACAACTTGCACTGATTTTCGAACTCTTGAAGTCGTAGGAGCGGGAGTAGCAGGCGACTTTCCTTTAGATCTTGCATATGTTCTAGTTTGCCTTATGGGTTCTCTAACACCACTAGCCTCGGCTACATCTCCCCATGTGAGGTCGTCATCATCAAAGACCAACTCATTTTCTTCCTGACCATCTTCTTCTTCGAGTGTTCCGATCAACCATTCATTACTTTCATCAATATGATCCAAAGTAATTGGATCAAGTTGGTCTTGTAGAGTGTAGAGCTCTTTAAGTGCTTGGTTATATTTTATATAAACCAAGTCATTGAGACGCTTTTGCTCTAACCTGTTCCTCTTCTTGGAATGAATCTACAGAATTATTAACGATGTAGAGTCAAAAGTGGATTTTTCAATCTTCAACTAACAAGGGAAAAACCAAATTATTCTCACTTACGTGTTCAAAAACACTCCAATTGCRCTCACAGCCAGAAGCGCTGCAYGTTAGACTAAGGACTCTCATGGCTAACTTTCGTAAAATCGGAGCATTAACACCATAAAGAGACCACCAYGCAGCTGTGYACATATTAAACAAATGATTTAGAATTTTARTAGTTCAAACTTAAATATGTCTATTAAAAATTTAAAACTAAAAGTAATAAATAATGTCATTACCTGGTGTTTTAACACCCCTTGTCCTTATTGCTACATTACTCGAAAACATGCCTTTTGCTTCATTGTACAATTCTAATTCGATTGAACATTGAACTTGATCATCGATAGATGGTATTAATCGTTCTATAACTTTGATCAGACCATCCATGAYCTCAGGATCTTGCATTATTCTCTCTTTGTTGTCATAAAAAAGAGATGRATTCAAATAATATCCGGCTRCATGTAAAGGCCGATGAAGTTGACAATCCCACCTTTTATCAACAATCTCCCAAATCGGTCTATACTTCGCCTCATTTCCATTAAAACCACTCTTAATAGCCTCCTTTGCCCTATCCATAGCTTCGTAAATATAACCCATAGCCGGTTTATCACCATCTACTAGCCTCAACACACGAACTAAAGGGCCCGATGCTTTCAAAGTATACACAACTGAATTCCAAAAAGATGGCATCATAACGGTTTCAGCTGCTCTCTTCCCCTTTGGGTCCTTCGCCCATTTAGAGGTGGTCAATTTCTCAGAAATAAACATCTTCCTCAAATTGGCTTTATTTCTGTGAATACTGGCTAGGGTTAAAAATGAAGTTGCGAAGCGAGTCACTGATGGTCTTACCAATTCATGTTGGTTAGTAAATTCTCTCATCATGTTTAGCACGTACAAGTGGTTGTAAATAAAACCACTAAGTGCCACAGCCTTCCGAAGACACCTTTTCACTTGCTCAATCTTTCCAATATCCTCCAAAATTAAATCTAGACAATGAGCAGCGCATGGTGTCCAATATAGATGAGGTCGCTTGGCTTCTAAAAGTTTTCCAGCTAGGACATAGTTTGAGGCATTATCCGTCACAACTTGGACAACGTTTTCTTCTCCAATCTTCTCCACCATTCCATCTAAGAGTTGAAAAATCTTTTCTCCAGTTTTGATGCATGAAGATGCATCGATGGATTCCATAAACAACGTTCCAACAGATGAATGAACTAAAAAGTTGATTAGTGTCCTATCCCTCCTATCAGTCCACCCATCTGACATCAGCGAACAACCATTTCTCTTCCATTCTACCTCATGATCGCCCATAAGATTTTTTGTGTACTGTACTTCTTTTTTCAAGTACGTTACTCGAGCTTCATGATAAGAAGGAGGTATCAAACCAGGGCCAAATTGCCCCACAGCTTCTAGCATCACTTCAAAACTTCTCAAGCGAATAGTATTTAGAGGAATACCTGCTTGATATATCCAACGCATGATGAATTGCACTGTAGCATCTCTCCCCTCTTTATCATATTTTTCAGTAATAGTTGATTGCTTCAACCTCTTCAATCGATTTCTATCATCAACAACTTTTCCAGGATGTTGATAAACAAATTTATCTATTGGCCCCTTTGGTCGCGGTGGTTTTAACACTGATGGACTACAAGAGTTACTACTTCCACTTCCACTCCCACTTCCTCTCCCTCTCCCACCCATACTACTCACATTATCACCTGTGTTTATTGTTGTTCGCTTGTTCATTGGGGTTGATGTTGATCCAGATCCACTACCACTACCACCAACTACTTCCATTTCATCTTCATCATCTTCTTCAATCAAAGTTAAATCTTCATACGTTGGGAGGGCATTACTCTCTTCCCTTCTTGCTTTTGTTCTTGTTTGATACTCCTTCAATTCTTCTCTCACATTAGTTGGGCATTTCAAACATGCCTTTACATTTCTATTTCCCCCAACCAAATGGTTTGTTGCTCGGCAAACTCCACCTTTGGTAATTTTTCCACAAAACACGCATTTGCACGTGTTTGTATCTTTTGGATCATCCAATATGATGTATTGCCAACCGGGATGCTTGCGTTTGTTTCCACCTTCTTCCATCCTAA